CACCTGGTGACATGGTGATGTAAAGCTGTGTGTCGTCTGCATATTAAAAATGAACTATAGATATTTGATTTGCATTGAATCTAAGGCATACGTTTTGCATTTCATTTTGAAAGGCAGTCTTTAGTTTATGTGTGCAAATAAATAGAATTTTGAATCAGCTCCTCTTGCTCAAGCTTTTGTGACAAAGATCCTTACTTGTATGAGATTAGGAGCTCATCAAATGAGAAAAAACAAATCTCATAAAATAAAAATGTTACAAGAGCACATATGAAACCAAAAGTTATTAATACAGAAACATCAAGCAATGTTCATTATTGTCCAGCACAGTGTCATTCTAAAGGTCCTTGGACCAAATCCAGCCCATCACAAGAATGTATCCGGCCTCAAGGAGCCAAAAAAGGCATATCATAAAAGAGAGGCATATGTTCATTTAAACTGTACAACATTGTGACGATCTACAAAATGATTTTGATCAAATTTATATATGAGAAGTGTGTCATTGTAAATTCATTTATGAAATCTAAAAGATTTGGTTATACAGCTGCAACTGGTCCTTTCAAAGACCGAATGATGCCAAAGTGGCCTGATATGAAAATTAGTTTGACGCCCTGCTGTACAACATGCACACAAAATGACAAGGTATCTAAAAATGGCGAGAAGTAATTTTGCATAAATTACTGTACCAATGCTGTATGACATGGAGGCAATCAGCAAGTGGAATTGCTAAGGCGTCTATGAAGCTTAGGTCACCGAACAGCCTGCAATCCGTCTGCATCACTGGGCTTGGTGTCTTTCATCTCTGCTCCTTAGCCTCTGTGCATTTTTTTGTTGCATGAGTTTGCTGGTGATAAAAGTCGACTATTATGGTTATTTCAAGAAGTCACTAGTACTCCAGGCAGCTCTAAGCTGCTCAAATTTTTATGCCTTGACATAACAGAGTGAATCAACACCAGTGGGTGACACTGCTTCCTGGTTCAGGAGTGACTGAACAAAATTGCTCCAGACACCTATGGCTGTTCAATATATATTGTGCATAAATGGTTAAATAACTAAATGTAATGTAAAGCCATTTTTTTTTCTCCTTTAACTATATATGGCAACCCTTAG